CAGCTTCTTACGTTGGATCGTTCAAGGTGCATATACCATTCTAGGGATGCCTCTGTTAAGCTATCTTGAAAGAAATGGATTAGTAGCTTCTCGTCATCAGAATAGGCGGCCATCTTCCTACAGTAAGACCTTATGTGGGTCTTAGGACAACTGTTACCCTTGTATTTCTCAAAGGTTGGAATTACGAACTTTGGAGGTATCTTAACTCCGGGTACAAGACATATTTCAGCGGCATCCAGTCCCAAAACATCGGGGCCTTGCAATGTCTTCACCATCTCCTGTAAAGCATTGAATTTCTTCTCTAATTCGGCGGTCTGTGGTCCATATGCTTCACCTGAATTCTCATAGAAGCCTTCATGATCATCGTACTGGACTTGTGTTGGGATCGTAGTACCATGAGGATGGGTCGTACCGACTGGCGGAGGGACGGTGTTGACAGGTATGGCACCTGCAGAAGTAGGAATTGCCCCAACAGGGGTTGGGGTGGCCTCGACAGGAATTGGAATTGCACCACTTGCATTGGGAACTGCACCAGCCAAAGTCTGATTAGCGCTCCTCTCCGCTGCTTGTCTCATCTCCTCTTGACTTCTGGCCATATTCTGTATCACCTCCATGAGTTGATTCATCTGTGTCTTCATGCTTAGCATCTCGCTCCTCATAGTAGCCTGGTCTTGTTCTATCTGATCCATGATTCCTCTCTGGTTATTCCTTGTATTATACCGATGTCGTGAAGTCAGCTTGCTTTACTCTTTCTGAAAGGGTAAGCGGCGTGTAAGAACGGGCTGCAAGGAATGCAAAAAATGATGCAGGGATGCTTATGCAAATGCAATGCAATGAGCACACGATGAAGGAACAATAGCGAGATCAAAGTCATAGGTCCTGCAAAAAGCAACACAAAAAGTATCTCTCCCATCGGGTAGGTTATCTATTGGTTTATAAGAGGGTATCCCAAAGGCTCTTAAACAAAGTCCTATGTACTAACCCTCGAAAGTTTTCCATCATAACGACTACTCGTAAGACGGTAATCCCTTCAAAGGATGAACACAGAGTCATGTCTCAGCAACCTTTGGAATAAGGTTCTACAAAGGTCCTCAGAGTCGCGGACTCCCACGTCGGAAATAAAGATGTCATTACGACTACACGTAAGACACAATCATTCCAACGGGGTCTCATCTGAGCGGTGGAATTCAATCCAACTCAACGAGTCCTAAGTCTCGCAAATCAGAAAGAAACCACCTCCTAATCTTAGTGTATACTCGAAAGCTCGGGTAGAAAGCTTTTATCCTTGCAAACCATCCAAATAAACCCAACAGGTTAGAGAATCAAAGCATAAACAAATAAAGCAAATAAAATAATAAACACGACAAACAAAATAGGCTTGGCTTGCTAGTGTTCCCCAGCAGAGTCGCCAGCTGTCGCTACTCGAAAAATGCATCGTGCAACGACGGGGAGGCGAAAAAGATAGACAGAAGAGTCGCCACCGAACTTTATTTATCCCATGAGGGGAAAGGAAAATATCGAGAAAACCTTAAGAAAGAAATGGATAAGATGGTCTCGCAACCAAGAACGGGTTCGGAAGCCGGTTATGCGAGGGGAAGGTATTAGCACCCCTCGTATCCATCGTACTCGATGGGAACCTTTTGTTTGTCGATGTGAATTTATTTGCTTAAACATTATGCTATAAAAGTGTTTCACAGGGTAAAAGATAAGGGTCAGAAACAGGAAAGTTAGGAGGAAAGAGAGAACGGGGAAGAAAATAGAAAGAACAGACTCGGTAGGACTTCGCAGTCCTAGGCCTACGTATTCTCAACAGATATGAGAAAGTCAGAGTCGACGTAGTTCGGGAAACTACAGATATAGGGAGGAATATGCTCGGCAAGGATTGTGGCCCTTGTGCCTACGTATCTTTACTTGAAAAAAGTAAAGAATCAGAGCAGCCGTAGTTCGGCCTACGGTGTGTTGATGTTTTTTATGGATGATGCTATCGTGCGCATTCTAGCAGTTAGGTGTTTTGCTGCTCGCTCGTTGGAGACTTAGGCGTTACCTGTTTGCGGTAGAACGGACGTAACATATCCTTTTCAAAGATTGATTAGTTTTCGCCACGCGGGGCAAGAAGTCACGTTTGATTGATTGGATTGTTTTTAGGGGGCGAGACAAGTCCTCAGATAGTAACCCCTACGGGTAGTACCTAATTCTTTATCTCAAAGTTTTTTTGTTATAAAAGGGTGGGGCGAACGAGGCGTCTTTGTATTGAAAGACGAGCGTCGAAACCACCCTCACTATAGTGGGCATCCCTACGCTCGGAGAAGAAGAGGTCTACACCCAATCCTCTCTCTTTAATTCAATGCAAAGAGAACTTCGTTCTCTTATTAACGATGTTTTTGGTTTTGAATGGTAAGTGCTTTGCGACAGAGAACCCTACAGTAAACGTCAGCACTCGGGATAGGAGAAAGCCTACGCCTAACCACTCCACGACCATTCAAGTTTTTGTGATGAAAAGATTTGAAAATGCACTCAGCACGAGACCGAGGTTTTAGGTGAAAAGGGTTACGGAAGGAATGTGGAAGCGAGATGGTGGATAAAGAGATATGTGATGGATAAAGTTACGTCTTCGTATCGAAATACGAGTATCGAGACCACCCTCACTACAGTGGGCATCCCAACACTCGGAGAGGAAGAAAGTCTACACTTAATCCCCTCTTTTAATTCGGTACAAAGAGAAATCAAATTATTATGGTTTGAAAAAGGACTCGATACGAGACCGAGGTTTTTATGAGGAAATGTTGGAAGCGTCTTTGTATTGACAGACGAGCATCGAGACCACCCTCACTACAGTGGGCATCCCTACGCTCGAAGAAGAAGGGGTCTACACCCAATCCTCTCGTTTAATTCAATACAAAGAATTGATTTTAGGGAGATGAGATTTGAAAATGGATGGGAAACGTCTTTGTATTGAAAGACGAGTGTCGGAACCACCCTCACTACAGTGGGCATCCCAACACTCGGAGAGGAAGAAAGTCTACACTTAATCCCCTCTTTTAAATTCAATACAAAGATAAGTCGATTTTGAAAATTGTTTGACAAAGTTTGGAATCGAGTCGGGACAAGTAACGAAAAGGGAAAAGAGGTGGTCTCAGATCCAACATTACCTATCAATAATTTGACTGGTAATGAATTACGGAGGTCTCGTCATCGACCAAAACAAATGAAAATGAGACAAAATGCCCAATAACAAAAGAGAAATGGAATTTAACCTTAAAAGGAAAATGAGATTTGAAACTCTAAATAAAATATTAAAAACTCTAAAAGAAATATGAATATAATATATAACTCTAAATAAGAAAAATAAAATAAAATAGAAGGAAGTAAATCTAAATAATAATAATATATAGCATGTTTAAAAACTGTTAAAAGAAATGTTAAAAATATATATATATATATATATACAAATTACTAACAGTATGCTTATAAAACCAAAATACAATAACTATGTGTAATATTTTTTTAAAAAAAAGAAGAAACAGAGGTTTAGAATCAGAGAATGGGGTGTATAATCTCAAGACATCGTCGCGAGCCCGAGCCCACTCCGTCCAAACCCCTGAACAAAAGACAACCTAAATGAAAATCAAAACAAAAACAAATCCTAGGAAAAGACATCAGCCAACAGTTTACACGCGGAAGAACGAAAAGGAATCAGAGAAGAAGTTCATCAACGAACCCCTTCTTTGTGCACGATCCAGCTCAATCTTTTCTTCAAGTTCAATAAATTCACGGTTTCAATCTCTAAACCTTCTTCTACTTCATCTCTATTCTGGGTCTGTGTTGTTTAGGTTTTAGAAGAATGATTTAAAGGTTGTGATTTCAAGAACAGGGATATTGAGGTTAGAAAGGGTTTGGGTTTACCTGCTAGTTTTATGGGTTTGATTAAAGATTGATGAAGGGTTATTGTAAACGAAACAGAAGGTATATGAAGAAGGTTGGGTTGAGGAAAAAGGATTTGTTGATTAATGGTGGAAGAGGAGTCGAAAGAAGGTTGAAGATATATTTGGGGATTTGAAGGTTTGTGTAGTTCTGAGAAAAGGGTTGCGAAGGTGATGAGTTTGGAAGAGATGGAGGTTGGTGAGGGTTTCAACGTTGCTGATGAAGGAGGGAGTTTCCCCTGGATATTTGGGATTTCCAAACCCGGTTGAGCTGTTTTCAGTTTGCGTTTTTTGATTTGAGATTTGGCTGAGTTCGAAGGTAAGAAAAAAATGAAGAAAGTTTGCAGAAGTGTGTTTTCTTGAAGAAAATGGAACGGTATTATGAAGAAGGATTGATGTTATAGAGGATGGAAGGTTGCTAGCTGTTGAAGAAAGTGTGTTGCTGGTGATTGGGAGCTCTGTTTGTGATGTTGTGTTGCGAAAGTTGTCGAAGTTGTTGATGTTGATAACAGAAGGTTGATGAAACTCACGAAAGAATGGTGTGTTGCGGTTTGTGTGAGGTTTTTCTTTGGAGTAGATGATTGAAGATGGAAATGGAAGATTTCCTTTGGGATTTGTTGAAAGAGGTAGAAGGTATTTTTTGGGTTTAAGAGAGTTGAAGATAGTCTCTCAAGAGGCTGGCGGCTAGGGTTTTGAGGCTGCCTCCTCAGGTTCCTTTCTCCCCAAACTTTTTATATCAGTTGTTCTTGATTTGTTGGCTGTGTATGGTAAAAAAATCCCTCTGCTTTTTGCTGTTGCAGGCTTTGTAGAACTAGTTGTAGTGGTTTTGGGGAGCTGTTGTAGCAGAATTTGTCTGGTGGGGACCAAAGGTACAAATTTGTTTTTAGCATGAGCTGGAAAATATGTGAGTTTTCTACCACTAATTCACTTTTTCACTGCGGTAACTCTTCTTTCAATTTCTTGGACTGACTTGATTTTGTGACTGTCGTACTATCATGTTCTTTCCATTATTCATGGTTTGTAATGGGATGTTTTGTGTGAAACAGTTTTGTGATGCTTGCGTATAAGGGTAATGCTTCTTTAGCTACAGAACGGTGCAGTATTGTGCATCACACACATATGAGGCTCCACATGATCACCAGTAACAACAACAACACCAATATCATTTGTGAGAATATCCACGGAGTTATCAGTCGGCACAGTAACTGCAATTTTGAATTTCCTCGGCAAGAACTGAGTTCCATAAATGGGCTCAAGTGAATCTGTGAAGTTTGTCCCATGAGAATTGTCATTTCGTGCCTGAACTACCTCAGGCGGTTCTGCTGACATAAATCTTTCCCCATCTACCCAAACATCATAGTAAAAACCAGATTGAGGAGTCAAAAGTGCAGCAATATTCTCTGCTGTTTCTTGAGCAAAGAGATAATCTTTCCTCACAATAGGAGCAGCAGGAGCCAGCACATTCCGATTAAGATCACCACAGGCACCGAGACTCGAGCCCATATTTCTAATAATAGCACCCATAACCGTTTTAAGATCCTTCTTAACAACACCATGCAGCTGAAACGTTTGTCTAGTAGTCAAACGTAGGGTCCCAATTCCAAACTGATCAGCAAGATCATCCATAGTCAAGTAAAGCTGGTTTGAAACTTTACCACAAGGGTTCTTCGTTCGTATCATAAACGAATAGGTTCTTGAACCACGCTCATCTCTGTTGTACTGTTGATAACTATCATGAAACTTGATCAACTGCGTTCCCGCTTCGCTTAAATTAGGCGCATCATTCGACATATCCTCGTTAAGAGGATCCCTTATGAAATTGCTCTGTTCCTTGAATATCTCAACTTTGCTCCTCTTCTTCTCAGTAGCAGTTTCAGACTTTTCAGGAGTGGAAACAGCGCGTATGAGGGAGGAGGAGCGAGTGGATGAAGGGACGGAGAGAGCATTGCGAAAGAGGGAAGATGCGGTGGATGAAGACCGAAAGCCATGGTAGGTCGGGATCTGAAGCTTAGGGTCTCTGAGCGCCGCTGCTGCAAACAACGTCGTCATGAGGCAGAGAAGAGGGTTTTCGGTAGCGTTGTTTCTGAGAAAGAGTGAGCACAGTGTGTGTGAGTGGGTGCTGTATTGTGAGCCTTTTCACTTTGCAGCTCATGAATTGTCTTTACAATTTGCCGTCTCCGTCGGACTTTATGCAGGTCTGTTGTGTTCCCTAACATTACCTTTGAAGCCTTCTTTCTTACTACCCTTTTCTTTTATGCAGGAGGATCTGTCATGAAGTAAGGAACACAAATTACGACTTCGGCGAGCGCGTGAAGTTGGTTTATCACTACTGCAATGCTGGTTTTTTTTTGAAGATGGGTGAATTGCTTGTGGGGGAATATATGAAGTGGTTTGGTGTGGCCCACTCCGCATTGCCGCACGAATTCTCAATTCCTGTAGCATGTTTCTTTAAGTTATGGCTGTGAAATTATTATCGCGTAACCACTGTACTTCATACTTCCCTTTGAATTTTGTTACAGGTAGGGATGTATGGTTGCTGAGGTTTGTTGCAGTGCAAGTGCATTCGCGTGACATTTCCTTTCGCCGTTTTCTGCAACTTGGAATTGTGGCTGCAAGTTGGTGATCCATGTGGGGCCTGTAGTGTGTCCAATAAACATATCAAACAATTATTTTTTGTATTTTATTTTGTTGCTAATTTCTAACCAAATTAGACTTGTATGGGAAATGGTAATGGGAATGGGCCTTCTAAATTGTAACATTTGTTTATGGATTTACACAAAAAATGAATCATAGTTTCCTTTGAGCTTGATGATTGCTACTTGCGTCCCGAAATTTTCTTAAAGAATTCTTTGACCTTTAATCTTGAATTGTCAACCATTTCGATTAAAATTTCCAAGGTAAATGAGTAAAAAATAATCGAATCCAAACTGCACCCATCGTGCTTTGTAATTAACTTTTCAAGAATGGAAAGCAACTGAATCTTGATTGAACATCTTAAAAACAATTTCCACAGATCTTTGAATTCTTTTTGAAACAACACTTTGAATTAATCACTACTCCCGCACATCCTGATCCACATAGAGATGATCCATAATGGCATGTAACAATATCGTAAACCCAGCCACCATATGAAATAAAATGAGTCATTCCTGGATACACCATTACTCCAGTTTGGCCTTATTGCCTTGAGATCAAGGAATAATGCCTTGAAGTATACACTGTATTAAAAAACATTCTGCAAAAATTAGCTCCAACCAGGTGATCTGAACCGTTCCTCATTCCACATTATCCACACGTCTGACTTGCATCTTTAAGCGAAAATAACAACACATTTTTTTTTTGGATTTTTTTTATGAAGCAAGTGGGTAAATATACATAATGGAGGTTGTATAAAGGTAGGACAAATTTGGGGTATGACAACTGGTGATGATGATTGGCTATCATGTTGAGCTGAGCCATGTGTTTATGCACTTGTTTATTTCATGAACATGAGATGCCTGTGACAACCTAACCTGTTTCAACTTTTAATCTTCAGGTCCCCAACTTTCTGTTTTAGGGCAATGATGTTGAACTGAGCCCAGTGCTTGCAACGATGATGGTTCTGACAGTCCTTTCTGATTTCACATCTAGCCTTTGTCCCTGATACTCACGGTGGGTTCTTGTTGTGGCGCTTTAGGCATCAGTTCTATGGTGTTTTTCTTTGTACGCTTGCAGATATTTGAACTTTGATGCACAGTCCAATTCTGCACTTCTGATTTTTTATGATGTGAATTCACTTGTTTGGTTCAGAGCTGTTGTGAACTGACCTGCTCTCTTGCTTTGTTTTGGTATGCTGTTGCGCAATGGTGTTTGAGCCGAGGGCTTTGATGCAGCGTATGATGCTGTTTGGTTTCATTTCTCTGTTTTGTTCAGGATTGCTGCAGTTTGATGCCTATGGCAACTTATGAATCGTTTTGAGTTTTGAATGCTGAACCTGATATTGATGTGTTTGTGGATTTTCAGGTGTGGAAGCTTCGGAACCAAAGTGACTCAGACCTGCCGGCATCCGGGTCTGAGTTCAATTTTGTCTAAGTTGCCTTATTCTCGTGTCAGTTTGGAAATCCCATCGCGGCAAAACGAATCAGTCCCGCTTCTTTTATTACTTCTATCTCCCGGATGTCCCGTAACGATAAGAACAGGTGTTACCTGATCTGACGCCAATGGCGCGGATCGGTAACGGGGGTAGGACGCAGCTTCGGTTGTGCCACTCCCGGCACTCGATGATGACATTGTTCTGAGAGTGTCAAAAACATCTTCTAACATTTTTCTATATTGCTTGTTTTGTTTTGACGTGCAGGTTAGTCGAGGATTCGTGGAGAAGCTCAAAGACAACATGAAGACACTTAGATGTTCTTAGGATTTAGGATAGATACTTTAATGTAATTCCTTAGGATTTAGAACTTTAATGTAATTCCTCGTAACAGTACGTATAAAATGTGAAGCAATCTCCATTTCTTGTATGATGAGATTCTTTTATGAAATAAAAATTCCAAAATCTGAGTTCATTTATATTTTATTCTTAGTTAAAAAAATATAAACATTTGTGAATAAATCCACAAGTATTTAAATTCATTAACATAGTCATAAAACATAAACACTCCCAAGTGATATTCTTATTTGTGCACTCGTCTCATTTGTAATTCTAATCTCATCATCTGATTAAAATCCCATTTAAATGTTAACCAACCATTTCATAACCAAACACAGATGTGCACCATAATCACAACAGTTTCAGCATCAACAACAACACTACTCGTAATTAAATTCCACTGACCAAATGCCAAGAGCCACAATCCAATAACACCCAATTACGACTGTGCCTTAATAACAGAAACGGAAACGCTTTGGAATGGATCTTAAATCCAGTTGTGCTCGGCAAACTTTAATATCGACCACGTCAAATCGGCACCTTGATATGATCAGACCTGGTGATAGATAAATGCCTCAAAACAATAACGTATCAAACGCCTCAGAATTTTAATAACAGCCCGTCTTCAAGGAATTGGTAGAATTTGCGTAAAATGACCAAAATACCCCTGGGACCAAATCTGCAAAACAAACACCTTCATAACTGGTTAGCGGTTAGCAATGTACATATGAAATGATATGCGAAATGACTGACTAAATATAAGGGTAAAATTTGGGGTATTACAGTTGCCCCTATTTAAATAGCTACACCGGACGATTTGAGTGACAGAGACTCGAGGAATCGTGGTGGAGAGATTTAAATATAGATAACCGAAAATTTTGCCCTTATATGCGACGATATGCAATGCTATGGATAAAGCGAGGACAGCTTAATGCAGATGATGCCATGAATATGATATGATGCGTATGCTGGAATGGGGGATGCGAAAATGATGACGAATACTACGACACGGACGCTACGAGAAGAACACACTGGGGAAAACGACGTGCTGAGACACAGTACAAACACTAGGGAATCCTAAAATGATGGTCAACTGGTGCAAACACGACCAATTGTCATTTTGGGGACGAGATTCGCAAATGGAGATGACATCTGTGAGACGGCCTCCACTGGGGAATCTAAAGGATAAAAATTGGATCACGTACGATTGCAAGATCGATTACAGAACGCTGGAGCATTGAGCAAAGAATAACATCCAAGCTTCTGTAAACTATCTCTCGTGACAGGATCAAACGGACTTTTCGGAACTCCGTAACAAATATACAGGGTAAAGACCGGCTGTATGCCAAAATAAATGGACTTTAAGAATAAGATCCTTAAATGGAGATGGCACCTATGAGATGACCTCCACTAGGGAATGTCTAATAATAAAACTGGATCTACACGGTTGCAAGATCGATTACAGAATGCTGGAGCATTGAGCAAAGAATAACATCCAAGCTTCTATAAACTATCCTTCGTGATGGGATCGAATGGACTTTTCGGAAATCCGTAGCAAATACAGAGTAAGGACCGGCTGTATGCCAAAATAAATGGACTTTAATGGGAAATGCCCTGATAAGCTTCTCGAGGGAGAACCGTCACTTATCGTTGGAAGGGACTTATGTGCCAAAACGGATAATCACTCAAATAAAGAGGCTGCTGCTTATCTGATAAATAAATCTTCTCGCATTTAAGGTCGGCGCCTGGAATACGATTCTAATTCTTCTCTTACTGAAGGATAAATAAACTTCTTCATGTTTCAAGATCGTGCTCTCCTGAACATGAAAAGGGTAAACTGAACTTCCTCATACTTCAGAATCGTGCTCTCCTGAATATGATTCGGCTCTTTCGGGTAAATGAAATTCTTCATACTTCAGAATCGTGCTCTCCTGAATATGAAAAGGGCTAACTGAACTTCCTCATACTTCAAAATCGTGCTCTCCTGAATATGATTCGGCTCTTTCTTGTAAATGAAATTCTTCATACTTCAGAATCGTGCTCTCCTGAATATGAAAAGGCTAACTGAACTTCCTCATACTTCAGAATCGTGCTCTCCTGAATATGATTCAGCTCTTTCTTGTAAATCAAATTCTTCATACTTCAGAATCGTGCTCTCCTGAATATGAAAAGGGCTAACTGAACTTCCTCATACTTCAGAATCGTGCTCTCCTGAATATGATTCAGCTCTTTCTTGTAAATGAAATTCTTCATACTTCAGAATCGTGCTCTCCTGAATATGAAAAGGGCTAACTGAACTTCCTCATACTTCAGAATCGTGCTCTCCTGAATATGATTCAGCTCTTTCTTGTAAATGAAATTCTTCATACTTCAGAATCGTGCTCTCCTGAATATGAAAAGGGCTAACTGAACTTCCTCATACTTCAGAATCGTGCTCTCCTGAATATGATTCAGCTCTTTCTTGTAAATGAAATTCTTCATACTTCAGAATCGTGCTCTCCTGAATATGAAAAGGGCTAACTGAACTTCCTCATACTTCAGAATTGTGCTCTCCTGAATATGATTCAGCTCTTTCTTGTAAATGAAATTCTTCATACTTCAGAATCGTGCTCTCCTGAATATGAAAAGGGCTAATTGAACT